AAAAAAAAAAAAAAAAAAAAAAAAAAAAAAAAAGATATCAATATAATCACTGATAAAATAGTCGTGAGAAAACTTATATTAAATTATGCAATAATTAAAAGGTTATACGACATAATCAGCAATCGCTCCGAAAACAAATATTCTTTTTCCGCTCAAGATGTCAAAAAGAAGAAATTATAGGAAAGAAGAGGGTACGAAAGAAGTACCTTTTAATATTGCACCCTTTTTTTTTTTTCAAATTTATTATTGTAAACAAGTTAGACCAATCGTTGGAAATATTCTTTAAATTTAAGTTTATTATTCACGACAACACTCAATGCATGTGAAAGTATTATAATCTTAATAGTGGATAAACAAAAGACAAAGTATTGTAGATTATTATTATAATAACGCGTAAAAAAAGATTTCTTCTAAAAAAAGATGAATCTTAGGTCGAAGATATCATTAAAAAATGAATTTTCAATTTGTCATTTTTTTTTTCCTTCCTTGTACAAAAATTATTATATTATTGCACATGTGATGTCATAATGAATAACATTATAACTTTTTGTTTATTTAACTTTACAAATCTTATTAGCATAAATTGATCAAAAACTTTTTGAAATTGACATGTGTTGTTCTTTTTTTAATTTTTTTAATCTAAGAAAAATTAGAAAAAAACATTATTATTTTTTTAATTTTAGTAATTTTCAGACATTTGTAAGAAGAACGAATGGGAGTTAAAATATATATATATATATATATGTAATATTGTATACCTAATACCTGATATGACCGGATAAAGGTAAATTTTAACCGATATAACTTTAAAAAATTCGAACTAGTCATCTTAATTGTTAAGTTTTTTAATAAACGGATAATTGGCTTGCGATCACGACACCATGTACATCAAATATTTTTATCACCAGGGTACACAACATATAAACATGTGATGTGAGAGAGTCATTAGATTAGATATGACGCAAACCGATCGATGGGCAAATTGATGGGGCAAATTGATGACGACACCTTATTGACGTATATTGACGGGGTATAAATTTGACGTCAACAATTAAATGATCATAAATAGATCACTCATACTATTAAAGGATTTAAAGTTGGTACAAAAAAAATCTCGTTATTTCTCATGAAATGATTCTCGTTCTCTCTCTCTCTTAACAAATATACCGGTATATTATAAAACGTGCAATTTAACACATGTTTTTACTTTCTTTTTAGAATTTTTGATTAAAAATATAAAAAGATTTGTTTGTTAATTTATACAAATTTGTAATTCTAAATCAAGAAAACAAAAAACAGATTTGAAATCTTTTTTCTTATACAAGAAAACGCGGGCTATTTCAATTGATAAATAACAAGATTATTATATTTTAAAGTTTAATTTATAATAAATAAATCAAGAACGAATCATTCTTTTAGAAATCATCATAAATGCCTTATTACCTTGTTTGAAAAATGATATTTACATTATAACGTAATAATAAATTCATGGAAAGTAAACCACGTGTGTAAAACACGAGTTTTCTATCAAACAAATTTCTCATTTCTCGGGATTTTTATGAATTTTAATAAACCTGATATGTAAAAAATAAAAACAATTTGATAAATTTATTAAAAAATCTTATTATATGAGAATAATTATAAATACAACCATAATTTTTTTTTTTTTTTTTTTTTTTTTTTT